AGTGGTATTAACACTTCACGTGACCTTCATTCTATCTCTCTGTTTATGCAGCCTAGAACTGTGTTGGCTTTTTTGGTAGCTGCTGCACACTGATGGCTCATATTTAAGTGGTTGTCCACTAGGACTCCAAGATCCCTCTCACAGTTACTACTGTTGAGCAAGATACCACCTATGCTGTACCTGTACATTTCATTTTTCTTGCCTAAATGTAGAACCTTACTCTTTTCACCATTGAATTTCATGAGAACATCAAAAAAGTAACCAGAGCAAGGAAGACCTATAGGAGGAAGTATCAAAAATCAAGGAAACTTTTACTAGCTTGGCCAGGATCCTAAGATGTTGCAACGAAAAATAAAGAAAAGCAATGTGGAAAATAATCCACCCTGATGAAAATATTTCTTTCAGATTCTTAAAGAGACTTCCAACTAGTGGTCACCCAAGTTGTACAGCGGTGTGGTTGGTTGTGGTTCAGTTTATGCATTGTACACAGTGTGTATACTGTACATCGTACTGATTGACCTACCTATGACTTGTTTAATAATTTATAATTGTCTAGGTTACACACCAAATGCTAAATCATGAACTGTATAAGCTTAAGACAGACAAATTGCATTATAAAAATAGCATGTTTGAGAGAAACTAGCCAATTACAGTTTATTCAATAAACCATAATTGTGGACTAGTATCATATATGAATCTCATGAAGTTCTTGTCAAACAACATTACATTTACATGAAAAAATGCTCAAATAGGGTTCAATTATCTAGAAAGGTTGATCTAGTTTATATCTATTTAGCAGTTTTCTGAACAAGGAATGCTAGGAAGGAGGCAACACTAAATCACTTCTGAGACACGTTGCCAAAAAAACAAAAACCCTCCAGGGACTTGTTTAGGTGAGAATCAGACATAATTTAACATTGTTTGAAAACAATGTTTTCTACAGTTCAACACATTTCGGAATAAACTGGGGCTTCTTTAGGGACAAACCACCCTCTTGATTTTCTGCAAGACTTGAAAACCTGGCTCTGCCAGTTGGCCTGGGGCTCCAATGGGGAAACATCACGCTGGAGATGGTTAATACATTAATAACAAATCCCACCTCCCTCTCTGTTCATCTTACTCTCTCCCTCCTCATCTTTTAGTAATAATATATTCTTGGAATATGCTGAATTTTGTATTGCATATATGGTACTTCTGAAGAAATATAATTGGGCATAGATTTTTTTTTCTCACAGGAAATGGATTTACCAACTACCACCCCTTCTTTTCTTGGGTCACAATTTGCTCCTTGTTTGGTCTACCAAGGCAATAGGCATTCACACAATGTGTAGGAAACTTTGTGGAGTGTAAGATAAAGATTCCCCTTGCACATATGTGCTAGTTGTTTCCGACTCTAGGGAGCGGTGCTCATCTCAGTTTCAAAGCCAAAGAGCCAGCGCTGTCCAAAGACATCTCCGTGGTCACGTGGCCGGCATGACTAAACACCAAAGGCGCATGGAGTGCAGTTACCTTCTCACCAAAGGTGGTTCCTATTTTTCTACTTGCACTTTTTACATGCTTTCGAACTGCTAGGTTGGCAGAAGCTGGGACAAGTAATGGGAGCTCAATGCATTATGCTGCGCTAGGGATTCAAACCGTTGAACTACCGACCTTTCTTTTTTAAAAAAATATACTTTTTTATTTTCCATTTTCATAACATACAATCAGATGTATACTATACATAGCCAGTATCCTATTGTATNGCTTGCTTTAATTTAATTTTAATTTCAATTTAATTTATTTATTTTTTCGTCGCGCTGCTGATGACGTCAGGTACGCGCTTTCGTCGAGCGCGCTTTTGTGTACCGCGGTTTTGACGGGTGACGGAAAATATATTCCTTAAATCAACCTTGGGAATATCAAAGACCAAAATGAAAAACACTTCCAAATGCATCTTATTATTCTAATAAGATAATAAATGTTGGTGTTATATTTCTAAATATCAACTTGATGTAATTGATTCTATTCATTGAAGAACCGATTTCCCCCACACTGCGATTGGCAGCATTGTTGACTAGACTGGGAGCCATGGTGATACAGTGGTTAGAATGTAGTACTGCAAGCAAACTCCGTCCTTAGCCAGGAGTTCGATCTTGACAGGCTCAAGGTTAACTCAGCTTTCCATCCTTCTGAGGCTGGTAAAATGAGGATCCAGATAGTTTTGGGCAATACGTGGACATTGTAAACTGCTCTATGGAGCAAAATGGTATTGCTATTGCTAGACTAGACATTGACTGGGCAAGGTTCTTGGGAGTTGTTCCTAAATTATAAGGTTGACAGCGATTGTCTACCTCCATGGATCTGTGTGCTATCCACAAGAGGATGCAGAAGCAGGAAAGTCTCTTGCAGGAGATGCAGCTCTGGGCAGTTGATCTGGGCAAGGCACATGGCAAAGTCAGCAGTCAAGCTCTCTATGCCAGCGGAAGTCACTTTGCAGATGATCCAGTTCATGTTCCCTGATGGGAAAAGAAGATAGTGGGGAGCACATGCAGACAATGAATAGAACAGAAAAGCAGAGTTGGAAGGGACCTTGAAGGTCTTCTAGTCCAACCCCCTGCTTAGGCAGGAAACCCTGCACCTCTTTAGACAAATGGTTTATCCAACATCTTCTTAAAAGCTTCCAGTGTTGGAGCATTCATAACTTCTGGAGGCAAGTTGTTCCATTGATTAATTGTTCTGTCAGGAAATTTCTCCT